AAATGGTTATATAATTGAAACTACTGTTCTCTTCTTTCTTGGTTTCCATATGTTTTGTGGTCTGAAACTTTGTCTCAATTTAAGATTTCTTGCCAAAAAAAAAAAAAACAAGTTGTGTTGTGTGTGTTAAAAGCTATGTAAGCTCAGAGTCTGAAGCAGGACCAGAGAGTTGTTTTTTACGTCTTCCAGAGTTCAAAGGACTCAAAGGCAAGCAATTATCCTTCCTTGTACCTCTACTACTTCTTCCAAATGGACTTAGCTGTAACGACGATTTCGGTGCTGATCTTGGCTTTATAGGAGATGTTACAGAAGACCGCGACTTAACTGAACCTGTAATCGAAAGATTTAATGTTTTGGTTTGATTCATGAAAGCTTATTTGGTTGAGTAAAATGTTATCTAACCTGAGATTGAGTTTCTTCTGAGTTTAACCGTGTCGCCGCTTTTCTTTAAAGCTGAGATCTTTTTGATTGGAGCTTCTGAGTAAACTGATCTTGTATCTGTGTATTCAGATATTGCATCTAAACACAATGACTTTGTATACATTGGCATTGTTGTTGGTGGATCTTCAACTACTGAGACGCTTTCGGATAAAGATTCACCGGTTTCCGAATTCTCTTCTTTGTAAAAGTTTGGACTCATCTTCTCTTTCTCTGCAATCCTATATGAGTATAGCTGGAACGGTATTTGTGTTACGGATTCCGCGTGAGAACCTGTCTCCATTGAGAATTTTCTCAAGAATCTTGCTTCTAAGTCCCAACAATCAACAAGTGGAGTTTGGATTTGAATGTGACCATGATCCGGATTCACTACTAGGAACTTCTTATTGTAGCGGAGTATTCGACAAATCGAAGAGAAAGTAGGACGCTGACTCGGTTCTGAATGCCAACATCGTTTGATTAGACTAACGAGGTATTTCGGGGAAGGGAATGGGAAGAGAGGTCTCTCTCCCGTTCTAATGTTCTTAGCCATTTTATCGCCTTGAAGATGACTATCTTCGAATGGAACTTTACCGGTTATAAGCTCGAAACAAATCATAGCAAAGCTATAAACATCAGCTTTATGTGTAAACTTCGATCTCGGGGCTGTACCTTTGAGATCTTGTTCCATCTCAGCTAGAACTTCAGGTGCATACCAAATCACAGGATCAGGTGTACTTGGTCTCAACGAAGGTCGAGTAAAAGACTGAGTTTTGACTGAGATCAAACCGAAACCCGAGATTTTCGCGTGGAAATAACCTTCGGTGTGGCTTCTTTCTTTCAAAAGAATGTTCATAGGATTCAAATCTCCATGGAAAATCTCATTCGAATGAAGATATTCCATTCCTCTCGCGATTTGAAGCATTATATCGATCACAACGGGTACAGAGAAGAGATATCTTCTTCTCGGTCCACAATTCTCCTTCATGTAGCTTTTCAAATCTTTGTGCATTAACTCCATAACGAGAAAACATTCTTTCCTTTCTTCATCACAGAATCCACATAAGTACTGAAGTATATTCGAGTGACAAAGCGATAACAGAGAAGAAATCTCTGCGTTTAACGGCTCAAGATCACCGAAAAAATGTCTCAATACGAAACTATCACCTAACCATTGAATCTCCTTGTACTGACCACCACCACCTAATCTCCTCCTCACTTGATAATCCTTAGAGCCAAGAAGTATCGAACTAGGAAAGAGCTTACCGTTAAACTGTTCCAGTCCGGTTAGTTTCTTCAAAAGAAAATCAGCTAAACGCTTCTCGGTCTTCCCAATCTCATCGCTCTTCGACTTTCTCTTCTCTTGTAATGCCTCAACTAGATTCCATCTATCTTCCCTCCACGAATGCTCAAACCGAATACAAATATCCCTCGGTACCAAATACTGTTTCCCAAACCTCCATTGAAACAGCTTAGGATCATTCCACTCTCGATCATACTTTCTCGAAAACACGACTCTCCTTCTCTCCATCTCAGAAGGGTCTAAACCCGAAATCTCACCAGCCGTCTCGATCGCTTCGATCACAGCAGGAAAATAACAGAACAAGTTGTGTATATGAAACTCAACACAATCTTTGTTCTGATGAAAGTTGATAACTTTACCCCACCAATCTTTATTCGACATACAGTTTCGAACATACATTTCGCCTTCTTTAAAAACTCGATAAAGCTCTCTTAAAGGCTGTTCAAGAGCTCTCCATTTGGTATGTTTCTCTTCAAGCTTCAAGTTTTGTCTGATTTCTTCGGCTACGGTGTTGAATCCCAAACTGAAAATATCTAACAATAAACAACATTGTCTTTGGTTGATCAAGATATCGTCTTGTAATACCATTAGCGCGTTTAAACTCCCTAGAACCTCGCCGATTTGTCTGAATTGCTCCATTAAAAAATTTCTCTCAAAACCAACAATATCGAAGTTTGATCTTGAGAATGCTGGAAAAAAGAAAATTTCAATTACATTTTGTAACACATATGATTTCATGGTTCCAATTCCAAAAACAGAATCAAGAGAAAAACCTGAAATGAAGATCCTTTATGGTTCAAGGATCGATGAATTCTCTTTGAATGTTTGAAATCATATAGTAGAGTAATCGAATCAAACCAAAAACATTAACAATGTCACCAACCTGAATCACCCAAAATCGAAATTAGGGTTTCAAGCTAGAAAATTCGAAGAGAAAATTAAAATTAAAAACTCAGATCTTACCTGTATAACTTTGAATCAGAAGAAGCTTCAAAAGAGAGAGAAAGAGAACAAGAATATTAATTTTCCCTAGAAAAAATTTCTCCTACCAAAAGATTTTCGCTGTCTCTCTGTAACGATTTTTGCAGAGAAAGCAGAAAAATTAATTTTCCCTGGAAATTTTTATTAATTAATTGCTCCAAAGTGTAACGGTTTTGGTCAGGTTGATTTGGTTTGTGTTCCGAACTCTTGGGAGGCATATATGAAGTGTTCCCGCGAGTTTCGTCGTACCAAAAGACTTTATTCATTTGACTATTTTCTTTCATAAAGGCAACAAATTAATTACGGCAGATTCTGACCAAAATAAAAACAAGATTAATAAGTTATGCACTTGAATATTTGACCATCCAACAAGAGTTTTATATGTTTTAACTAAAAAAAGAAGAGTAAACAGTGAGGAATAATGTTATTTTTTAAGGAAAGATGACTATTTTGGAAGAATATTTACTAACTAATGCTCTTTTTAGCTTGGTGTAACATTTAGCGAAAGTAAAAAACTAGAACTTTTTAAAAAGTAATATAATTTTACTTTTTCATACTGTTTAAAAAGTAATATAATTTTAATTTATGTTGAATTTCATATACACAACTTGTTCTGTTATTTTCTATTTAAAGAAAATTATGTAAACAGTGAGGAGAGAAGTTTTATATTTTGGCATTATGATTTTGGCATGTGGCAGTTTTATATGTTTTAAAATATACACGTATCAAAACCCT